TTTTTTGATCCCCTTACTGTAACAACTTTTAAACATAGTAACTACCCCACCCGATTACGCTTTGCCCTCTTGTTTTTACTTCTATTACTACTAAATAAACTGTAACCCGGCATATTCAGATCAACATAATTGTCTGCCCAGGTTTCCTGAATACAGATAACATCGCTATTTCTAAAATAGTTACAAAACTCTAAATCACTAAATTTTCTACTAATGCTACCTTGTATGTTCCAGGTTGAGAAAACTAGCGCAGGTTTTTTTACCCATGACATTAAAGGCACTCTATGTAGTTTTTTTGCGCAAAAATTTGGAATATTCTAATTATACTAAATTTCAGTGTTATTAACAGTTACTATCACTTTTCAACACATTTGTGTCATTATTTCACATTTTTTTACGTATATTTTGTCCGTTCAAACAGTCCTTGTTGGGTACCCGGTGCCACCGGTTTGCTCAGGACAACAACAACAACAACAACATACAGGGGTTGCCCCTTAGGGTGGCTAATTGACCCGGCATGCCAGGCTTGATTGACAGGGGCACATGTGACAAGATATAGCCTCCTTAGAAAAACACTCAAATCTTTCACATGAGGTCTGGTGGAATATAATGATCAACTTGGAGTATTTTGTTGGGCATGAATAAACTGTGGTCATTATCCCTTCAAAAGAGATAAAAAATCTGGTAAACGGTTAGGTATTTCAGAAACTGGTAAGCTATCAACTGACACCCCACTGGGATGTAGGTCAAACCACTAGCAGTGGACAATACAATGTACCATATGTGCGGTTTGGCCAGAGGTTGTATAAAAGATCATTCACAGTTTTCTAAGCTTCTAAGGAGCAAGGATGTTGTATTTTTTGTTGAGGAGTATGATTTTGGAATACTAAAGGCTTAAGTCAATGTACTATGTAAAGAAAAGAATGAAAAATATACTTTTTGTATTGTCAAAAAACTACATAGAGTGCCTTTAAAATCAAATTTTGAAGGCTTTATTTAGGCTACAAGAAGTAAGATATTATGATGTCATATGATATTTATGTATAAGATAAATGTATGGTACGATACCTTTTTCCACGGATAGACGTATAGAGTTCATTTATGATAAGAAAAAGTTCAAGGCTTTGCGGAGACACTTTCCGAAGTTTTTCAGCACTAGGCCTGGATACTTGGTGACTTGTTTGTTCATGTTGAGGGCCTTGCTCTGTGAGTGTTGGTTTCTGAGAGTCCCGTGCTGATTGTAGTGCGGTTGAGCAGACTGGAAACCTCCCCCGGTAGACTGGAAACTTCCCCCGGTAGACTGGAAACTTCCCCCGGCAGACTGGAAACTTCCCCCGGTAGACTGGAAACTTCCCCCGGCAGACTTTAAACTTCCCCCGGTAGACTAGAAACTTCCCCCGGTAGACTGGAAACTTCCCCCGGCAGACTGGAAACTTCCCCCGGCAGACTGGAAACTTCCCCCGGTAGACTAGAAACTTCCCCCGGTAGACTGGAAACTTCCCCCGGCAGACTGGAAACTTCCCCCGGTAGACTGGAAACTTCCCCCGGCAGACTGGAAACTCCGTCCGGCAGACTGTTTACCTCCTGTGTTGGGTCCGTGTGCTGGGTAAGGTGGGCTCCTCCAGGCTGTCGTGTATTATTTGATTGTTGTGATTTGTATTGATTATTATGTGTGTCGTGTATTATTTGATTGTTGTGATTTGTATTGATTATTATGTGATACCCTGCACAATTTAGCCGCAAAAAGGCTGCGACTGCACGGATACTGTTTGGACAATAAAAAACATTTATCATTACTAATCCTTTTTTTTCTCACAAAGACCAGACTCAGCACCCACCTGTGGCCCGTTGTGGAGTAGAACCAGGGATGGAGTTAGCCGTGCTGCCAGTCTGATGTTTTATGACTGGGTTCCCTCCCTCGTACATAGTAGAATGTGTCTCTTTATGATCAGCACTTGATTCCGCTGAATTCTCATAGAGGCATGACGAGGCCTCGGAACCTTTTTTGCGGCCATGTTCATAAAGCCCTGCCATCGGTCTGGGTTTGTCTGAATCTTCGTCTTCAACTGGTGAAGTCGAGTCATTACAATTTGTTGTGTCTTCATACAGATGTGAAACAGTCTTGGAACTTTCTTTATTATCATCTTGACCCCATCGTTGTTCAGCGGGTTTAGCAGATTCCTTATGACCAGTCGTGTCTCCGTACAGTTGTGACATGGGTGTTTCCTTCCCTGTCATTCCAGCCTGGTGGTTAGTACGTACAGGGAGGGGCAGCTCGGCACGAGGCTCGATACAGTCAGCAGCTTCTGACTCACGGTCTGCGTTGTGAAGGTGTGGTGCAGCTCGGGCAATGTATGAGTCATCTACCGTCTCCATGGTTTCTTCGAATGGCCTTCTTTTGAAAGAATAGTTCTCTAACGTTTTCCCGGGTATTTGGGGCTACTCTAAACGACATATACCGGCTGTATCAGGCCGGCCTGGCGTCTGTGTTAGACCAGAACAACATGATCTGCTCCTAGTCTGGATTTTGCTTTTCTGGCAGTTTAGACTCATCAGGAGAAACCAAGGTTACAATCAGAAAACTTCAAAGATGTCAAGCCCTTTTGGTGATGAAACAATACTAAGTCCTCGTTTGAATTCTGGTATTTCCCTCTAAACCAGCAGTTTTGATCGCCATGTTTAAAAGCGTGGACATCAAGGAGAAAAGGGCAAAGAATTGGCTTTTATGTCATACCTGTTCACATCTCCAAAAAAACTCACTGTATGTTCGTACGTTCAAGAATATGCTTTATGGTCATCGTTTAACGTTTGTGCGTTTTGTTGTCTTTAACTGTAAATTGTACGTACAATATATTACAGAGAATAAACAACACGTATAGATACACGAACATAAATATTTTTTTTAACGAGGTGGTTCAATGCAAGGCCTATACGACCACCTCACGGCATTGAACTAGAAATGTGAGAGAAACATGGCTATGTGGAGAGATGGCGGTGAACTTTGATTTGAAAGCCTGTGGATTGTAGGTTGGTGGGAAACACTTGTCGGGGAGGGAGGGAATTCCAAAGCTTGGCCTTATGGGGAAAGAAACAGTCACTGTAAAAAGATTTAGAACAAGAAATTTGAACGGTGAAGTTGTGTAAGCTAGTATAGTGGAGACCACCCCATACAAACACCATTTTCACTTACAAGTGGAACATGGTGGCCACCATGTCCCACTTATAAGTGGGCCAGGAGACGTCTCCTGGCTCATGAGAGACACCATTTTCACTTAGATCTGGATGGAAGAGATGGTCTCTGGCCATGCAGGAACGGCACAGATACAGTAACAACGCTCGCGAGATTTTGCGAGCCTGGACACGAGATCGCGTGGAGAGACCGGGATGTGTGCCGTGGCGTGGGTCGGGGCTCAGTGACTTTCGGATATCTAGTCGCGTCGTTGGACGGTAGCACTCTCTTTCAACTCCATGGCGAGGTAAATCATTTCTAGTTTAGATATGTACAGTTCCTCGTCAATTGCACCCTACGCCTATTGCGTGAAGAGAGTGCGCTTCGGCCATATGCTTGCCGGCCGAAGGGGGAGGGGGCGACACACATATTATGGCAAGCTCCTGCCTCATGTATTAAACGTTCATTCAGATCATATATGAATAAAAAAAAAACATAAGAGGTCGCTTTGTCAGTCAAACTGGAGTACGTGGCGTACCACGTAACGGACACAGAGGATCGAAAATTTTGGACTTTTCGACTTTCCGGGATCCCGAGCATAAATTATATTCCTAGTAGGAATATACCATTTTTTCCAAGGAATTTTCCGGGGTTTCTCTTTTTAGCGAACGCCCAGGAATTGTCGCACGAATCTTAAATTTTTTGTGTGGTCATGTCCAGAGTATGCTTTAAGCCTGTTCTGAACACGATGCAAGGCTAAGTCTTTGTTTAATATTTATTGTCATTTGCCTATACTGCAGGTATAGTGGTGCTGCATAAATACTATATATTTATTTATTAATACTATTTGGCACAATATTTCCTAGAAGCCAGAATCACGCAATGCTACATAATAGAAGATGGATTAAAACATGCATTTCCTGTCAGCAATCTTAAAAATCCTGGAGTGCACGAGGTGACGATAGCAAAGGAATGGTGTTTAATTTATCGTCGGGTTTCAATCTCTAAGATACTTTACTGTATGTTTGTCTTCATGACATTCATGCTGTCACCTTTGCACTGCAATTGAAAAAGATTAGACTTAAACTAAACTAAAAGAAAATAAAATAAAACAACAGGTGCAATATATTAAATAACACCGCAAACGATCAGTGGGTTACATTTTAACTACATGTACTTTCACTTTGCAATGTGAACTACAGAGAGAGAGTTTAAAAAAACGAGACACTTCACATAACGTTGATACATAAGTATTATAGGCATATCATACTTGTTAAAAAGTACAGATTTGACAAATCCTAAAAACAAAACATGTTTCCTGTGTTTCTATAGTTCTGCATATAAATCTACTAGTATTTATAAATCTACCATTACATAACACTCACTATTCGTTTTATAGTTCAGTAGAGTATCATATAGCTAATGTAGGAAATCAAAAGTTAGCCATACATGAAATTATGACAATATACAATAATCTTTTAAAAAATTAAAAAGACTTGAGTTTTAGTATACAACAACAACACCATTCAGTACTGTCCGGTTAATACTACTAGTTCTACTACTACTTTTGTACAGTCCTGTTATTACTGATAATTCATAATAGTCATTTGAGAAAATTGACGCATAACGTCTTGCTAAGTTAGCAGGGCTGCCAGCCTTGTTTGGCTAAGAAAGGACATGTTATGGGCCTTTATGACGTCCTTGGGCTAACAGTGCTGGGATCCAGGCTATGGTGACGTGGATTATTCATGTATATCGCGCCCAGATGATATATGCTTCATAGGTACTTGTACTTCACTTTATGGAAATATTTTGCGACACATTGAGGCCCTTATGTAGAAAAAAGCTATAAAGTCTGTTTCTCATTTTCATTACATTTAGGACAGACCATTAGACCTTGCTTGTTAATAGCTGATGCTTTACTGCCATGTCATGCCATGATTAACGAGGTGGGCCGCATGCCTCGGTGGTCTTAACTGGTCTATCTTATGCAGCAGACCTTCAGGCGTCGGCCGCTTGGAGGGGTCTACTATCCAGCAGGACCTGATGATGCGGTACACCGGCAGCGGACAGTTCTCCGGCTGCTGCAGACGGACGCCTTTCTTCAGCAGCTCCAACAGTGTGCAGACGTCCGGGTGCATGGGGCCTCCAGCGTAGCGCGGCTCCTCCCCAAAACTGGCGATCTCCCAGAGCAGCACGCCGTACGACCACACGTCACTCTCACACGTGTACACCCCGTCCCGTAACGACTCCACGGCCATCCACTTCAGCGGCAACAGTTCCTCCTCCCCGCCCTGGTTTGTGCGTTCGTACGCCGACGACGTGTAAACGTCACGCGATAGTCCGAAATCCGCGATCTTAGCCACCTTCCTGTCGCTGATGACGACATTACGGGCCGCGATGTCTCGGTGAACGATCTTCAGACGTGCCAGCTCTTCTAACCCACTGGCCACGCCAGAAGCAAAACCGAGACGTTCAAACAGTTTCCTTTCTCCTGTAACTTTGAATTGTTCTCTCAAACCCCACAGGTAACGGCGCAGTTCCTCATTAGCCGCGTACTCTACAACAATGTACTGTGGATGTGATTTAGTCAGAACTCCGTAAAACTTCACCACGTTCGGGTGTCCCTCTTTGTCTTCGTGGATCCTGGCGAGAATGTCCATTTCGCGGCGAAAGTCGCGGACAGCAGACGCCATCATGCGGTCAGGCCGGATACTTTTGGCGGCAACCAAAACTTGGTAGCCTTCAGGCACGCGCAGTCTACCCCGTACTACATGGCCGAACTCCCCCTCGCCTATCATGTGTTCAAAACATATGTCCTCTTTGTCTAGTTCCCATGATGAGAGAGGCTCCATTTCTATGTCCACTATGTTTATTGTATGTAGCCCGCTCCGATTTGTGACCCTCCGTTTTACCATGGTCACAATTATGATGCAGCCGACTATAACTATAGCAGGAAGAATGGACGCCAAAACTATAACAACGTCTTGATTATTTTCCAATTTGGTTACGATTTCACAAAATTCGCCTGACTGCCCTTCCGAACAATTACAGGTGCCATTTACTGCATCACACACGGCGATGTTCTGACATAGACATGTCATGCTGCAGTTCCAACCAAAACTGCCAGGTGCGCAGGTGTGCTGACATCTGTCTCCTAGACGGCCGGGAGGACACAGGCACCCCTCCCACCTGTCACACGTCCCTCCGTACTCACAGTCACACACTTGGCTGCAAACTTCTCCATAATAGTTAGGTCGACATTTGGTGGCGTTGAGGGAAAAGGTTGCATTAATTACTTCACCATTTACAGCTTTTACCACGCAAGTATAACCACCGTTGTCTGATTCTGAGACTGGCTGGAAGTTGATGGAACTGTTCTGTACCGCCCCTTTTTCAATGATTTTTGTATCGTTGTAATAGTTTTCCGCTTCATAAACCCACATCATACCAGCTACTTGGATGTGTGGAGCCAGGCAGGTCAATGTCAGATTAGTACCGATGTACTTTACGACTGAATCGCCAGGTGACGCTATGATGACAACTTCAGGCCAGGGAATATCACAGGCCCTCCCTCTCCATCCCGGGCGGCACTCACAGGCACCGTTAAAGCCATGACACCGGGCACCGTTCTTACAAACACAGTCCTTGTCACAGTACAGACCGTACCTGCCCTCGGGACACCCTGTGATGTCGTACTGAAATATGAAGTCAATGGGCCATGTACTGCTGTGAAATGTGACGTTAGCGCCACACTGTGTCCAAGCTAACAAAGTGGGCCGCATCTCATGATCATTCGACTCCACAACTGCAACATAATTATCACCTTCTGTCATGTTACACTCAGGATTATTCAACTCCACAACTGCAACATAACTATCACCATCTGTCATGCCACACTGACTATCCTGTGCCCACTCAGGCAACATTTGTTTCGAAACATCCAAAAACATAAACTTGCCTACACTTCTCAGCTGCCTGTCGCGACATTGAAACTCTAACCTCCCTCCATTCTGACGAGCCTCAAGCGCCGGGCGAAGCGCGTCTAAGTCATTCCACGTATGGGTCAGAGCGGTACACCATCGAAAGGAACAGCAGTCGTTCATGATAGCATGGTGGAGTTTGTGACGGAAAAAGGGAAAAAAGTCATTGTACTGTCGTTCTTCCCCATTAATCACGAGCTCGAAGTGCCCATTAGGGCTGCTCAGTACGACATAGTTCTCAGCCGTCCCAGTATCAGGTATAACTGGTGTTTCACACTGTTTGCTGTAGTATGGCGGGTATCCCCACACGTCCATGATCACGATGGCGAGGTTTACATGCCAAAAGCTGTTGTCTCCAGTATTTGTCAGCTCCAGGGACAGGTTGTATCGCGGGTTATACTCATAGTCCAGCGGTGCTGCGACGATTAGCGTCAAATTCTCAACAACAACCTCAAACCGTCTGAGATCGTTGCCACTTGTGATGTTCACTGACCACGGTGTTCCATTTTCCTCTTCCATTAGGCCACCGCCGACGTTAAGACAGTCTCTCAGGTTCTTGACTGTGCTGCCGACGGACGCGTCCTCGGGTATTTTTACGTTTTCAACCCCAAATCCCGCTTCTCGGCCGGCCTGGACAGATGGAATCAGGTTGACCAGTAGGAAGACGGAACAAATCTTCACACAAGTCATCTTCTCTTCACGTACACAACTTCGTAAAGTTTTGTTTTACAATATCCTGCAGGTGACTTGGCTTTACCTGGATGCAATGATGTAAACACGGTAGTTAGAATTAATTAGAAAAGCACCATACTATTGAGAAAACTATAGCATGCCTATATTTGTTTTCATCTAAACTCAACAGCAATCCCTAACCACTCAATTCAAATTCTCACTGCTGTTACAAACAGAATTGCCCAAAGCAATACTTCCTGTTTTTATATCTTTTGTCCTGAACCTGCTATGGTCTTGATTTTTAATGAAAGTTTTTCCTGTCAGGATACGTGGTGTGGGTTTTGGCCCCCTGGTAACTTGTTCTGGAACTGCAGGGGACTATCTGGAAAAATCTTTTAAAGCGAATAAGTCCAAAAAAGGAAAGAGTATTTTCAACATTTTTGGTAGGTAGGTTACTTAGATAGTGATGCACATATTTAAAAGCAAATAATGCAAATGAAGACATTTCGTTTTAGTTTGCCTCATTGACTATGGCAAAAAGGTCGTAATTAGCATAATCTAGTTTAATTTATGGTATTCTAAATTCAAAAGACTATTTTTTGTGTAAAATTCCTCTCCTTTGTTATACTTCATTTCAACATGTCCTCATTAATTATGCAAATGACCTCAACATTAACATAATATATGCATAGTGATGTTAACCTTTAAGTTACTTTCACGTGTCACAAGGTATTATAATCTCATCATTCATTAAGAATAGTCACAAAATTCACAATATTTTTGCAACTTTGGTCATTATTTGCATAATTGGTATCTGTTAATGTTCCGCCTGCCACAGATAAAATAGATTACATATATAACAGTACAATTATATAAAACACTGTAATTATAGAATTTCTTAATTATGCAAATTATATCCTCCATTTGCATAATTTGATTATGCGAATGAGATTTTATACCTCTGGGCTTTTTATCGTATATTTATATATGTTGTTTGTTATGTATAGTTGATTTCGACGATTCTTAGTATAAAACGGAGAAGTAAAGGTCTAAACCTCGGTAAAAATGCATGTCGAGAACGTTCGAGACCGTATACCGCGGTATTTGTAAGTTAGAAGTCGTAACATACGCCGAAAACATCCAAAACTAGAGTTCCCCGATCTCATACCTTCGCCAAATGATGTTAATCTTTATGATTGACAAATTATACATTATTCCCCTTGATTTAGCAAAACAGGATATTCTCATTTTAATGAATGATATCAGTTTATCATATTCTCAACATAAAGACAGTTATACTAACAAACAATGCAATTCCAGAATTTCATTAATTATGCAAATGAGGTCCTGATTTAACTACATTGTGTTTAATGATGTTCACCTTCACTGAACTTTTAGATACCACAAGTATAAAATTCCAGGCAGTTCCATTACATAAATATAAAATTGTTATTAAGTCTTAATTTAGATAATTAATATCTGCCTGTGTTTCTCTAGTTCTCAATTTTCAGTATCACAAGCTTCAATAGTCCTATCATAGAATGCGACTGATTTATAAAATTTCTCCATGAATTATGCAAATTACATCCATATTTGCATAATTGTCACATAATAATATCAAATTTCACGTTACCTACATACCAAAAATCAAGACGATCCGTACTCCGGTAAAAATCACGCCGATCCGTCCACCGGTTCTTGAGTTATCCTCTTCTGAATATTTTCAAACAGATAGCCCTGCAGTTTCAGAAAAAGCCACTAGGGGGCCCAAACGTCACGTCATTTCTTCCCCAGCACAAGAGCTACCAACCATCCAAATTTCGTCACCAAAGCATGCCTAGATCATGAGATATTAAACCGGAAGTTCAGCTGCAGTACCATAACAAGCCGCTAGGGGTCCAAAATCTTACCATTTCCAGGTCTCATCAAGACCTAAACAATTACCAAGTACCAAGACAATCCATAAGTACGGGTAACAGACCGTGCCTGAGCGAACACAATTAGCCCCGACCTCGCCATAGAAAACAGGTTAGACAAGATTACCCTCGCCAAGAAGGTTATGTTTTAAGAGGCGTCCGTGTTTGTGTTTGTGTGTGTGTGTGTGTGTGTGTGTCGGTCTGTCGCGCGTGTGTCTGTAAATACGATAAAAGTACCAAGACAATCCATTTATCGTATTTACAGACACACACAAACACGGACGCCTCTTAAAACATAACATTTTTGGCGAAGGTAATCTTGTCTAACCTGTTTTCTATGGCGAGGTCGGGGCTAATTGTGTTCGCTTAGGCACGGTTTTAGGTCACGGGACGAGAGTGAGTGAGTGAGACACACACAGACACGCCAAAAACAATACCTTCACTTTTCATGGAGGTAGAAATGGAGGTATTATTTTTGGTGCGTCTCTGTGTTAGTCTGTGTGTGTTTTCACACAGTTGTAGTCAGCATAACTTCATAACGCATTGATGGATTGTGATGATATTTGGTATGCTGGTAGGTCTTAGGAAGCCAAGGAGGTCAAGGTCAAATATTGTACTCCTGGTGGGTGACCTTGGTACTGCAGCAGAACGCCCGGTTATTCTATCTTTGTCCTGGACATGCTATGGTCTTGAATTTTTGGTTGACTGATTGCCTTTTTCTGTCAGGAATTATTTGTGTTGGTTTGATCCCTCTAGCAGCTTGTTCTGGAACTGCAGGGGACTTTCTGAGTAAACCTTTAAAAGCCAATGAATCCAGATAGGAACAACGTACATGTGTTTTCACCATTTTTGGTGTGCAGGTAGTTGAGGGAAGGAGTTGTACATAATTCAATGCAAATTATTCAAATGAGAACTTAATTTGCATAATTAAGGAGGAAATTTTATAATTACAGTTTTTTTATATAACACTACTTTTAAACATGTAATCATTTCAAAATGTGGCAGGCGGAAAAGCAGATACTAATTATGCAAATGATGACCTAATTTGCATGATTCATGAGAAAATTCTGTGACTCTTTATTGTTGAATGATGGGAATTTTATACCTTGTTACATGTTTCAAGCTAACACCACTATACGTATATTATGTTAAGAAATGCTACATAATCTTGAGGAAGTATAGTAGAGTCAAAACATCCCCTCGCCTCGATTAGCGCGGGAACGTTCCTGAATCGGATGTACATTTAACAGAAGTCAGTTTGTTATAACTTCATAATAAGATCCGTACCTAGGCGGTCATACTCACCGTCGACTGTCATGCTATTTCGACACTCGATGTAGAATTTTAATCCAGATTGTGAAAGAACTAACCACTGGCAAGAGTCTTTGACAGCCTTTTTAGCAACATGGCAGTTGCCTTGTTTGATATTTGAGATTGTCCCTAGAATTATCAGTTTGCGACACTTTAAACTTAAGTCCTGACCGTAACTAAACTTGTATTTATCATTTCAAGAGAGACTAAATGAAAAGAACAAAACTCACCAAGGTAAGACTTGCTGACAGGACGGCTCTTCGGTGACTGATTCTAAAGAACAGAAGAACTATGTGTCTGACACACACAGGGAACACGCAAGTGGCACTGAACTAACGTCTGTCATGACGTCATCTCCGGCACGATGCGTGACATACACAGGAAAGGAGTCAGGAAGTGAACCACTTCCAAAAAACAGTATCAAGGCGGCACAACGCAGTTTTAACCCTATGGGAATTTCTATAGTTAAGGACCCCAAAGTGACTCACTTCGACTCACTGAAAATCATAGTAGGGTGCACAAGCAAGGTTTAGAATTTTGATATGTTTAATTTCAGGGTATAGTGTTCAAAATATCTGAAAATGAGCTTAAATTTGCCGGCTAGTTCTCTTTTCTCGCTCTCCTTTCTTAGCGCCACTGTGGAGGTCATTGACCTGCAGCCGACGCACAGTACTAGGCGAGGCAAGTATCCAAGCGGAAATCTACAACGACTGAACACGCACCATAATTCAACTTTTACGGTCTCAAAACTGACGTATTCCTCTAACATTTACCACAGGTTCCATCCCGATGCCATGCACAGAACAATCTCGGCACCTTTCTCTAGTATTGTGCAGCAGTTGTGCCCGGACTACTTTTGACAACGGGGTTCGCCCATAAATACTGTGTTGTGCGGCCTTAACTGGAAATGTCATTTCCTCATTCCAACGCGGCAGAACATTAACCCTATCTAGAGATAGGCGCCACCAAGATTACAAGCCTGAGGAGTCATCGTGACAAGTCCAGACATGCTGCTGGGTGTCATGGTGCCCTTACGATATTCAAGGTTATGGGACTTACAGACATACATACTCTACATACATTGTTTAGCGTTTCACGATTCGGTCATGGTACATGCTCATCATCACACCAAAAAAAGGAGACGTCACTATATGGATTAAGTGCTGAAAAAGAAGCTTATAAGGCTTTTCACGTTTCGTGGACCGAATAAGTCTGTTATTTTAGCTGAAGTACATAATGTCCGAATATGAAGGTATCTACCCATACGTGAGGATCATACGTGCGACTGAGCGAAAAATATGACACATGTCATTGTAGACAGAGGTGAATCTAGTTTTAGGTGCATCTTCGGTCCCTTTGTGCATCACTTGTTATGGCAATGACAATGACATTGAACTTTATTGTATATTAACGCCCCACATGTGCCTAATGCACTAAGTTTGATAACTTGGGTACAGGTATACAAAAAAAGTGTTATATTTCTATCTACAGGATCTAACTACGGAATCTCTCTTTTTTTTGAAACATGAACAAATTTACATATGTTTTCGTTTACATCGTAGTGCTTAGATGTCATAATATGTTTAAACAATTATATTTTAAGTGGTCATGTTTATGTCTGTTTTCTAACTGTAAGGAACTAATAAGGGATTTCCGGATGTCAGTGTATAGCGAGCATTCTAAAACAAAGTGCGCTTC